TATCTATCCATAATAAATAAACAAACAAAATGTTACCTACCATTCTTGTGTACGTAAGAGAAAAATATAGAGTCACATTTTTATATCGGCAACAATAATTGTTTGAAATATAGCGATGAAAGCGACGAAAACTACATAAAAGAAAAGTAATGACGATGAACCAAAAAAAATTAGGTCAGAGAAAACTCTTTAGAAAATCAATGGATTATGAAAATTATTAAAATTTCATTAAAATGAAAGATCCAATGACCCTGTAAATGAATCATTTTAAATGATACACTTTGGTCAACTTTATATCCACCCACAGAAACTTTCCAACATGCAACTTTTCAAAACGGCATGTAGTTTATCAAAACTGCGTGTAGTTTCCCTCTCTTTCTCAAACACGGAAACCATTTCACGTGTTCCTCCCCCAAAACTGCATACGCGTCATCGTAGCCAATCAGAAACATAAACTGAGATCATCAGTCAGTGTTAAGCTTCCACGTGGAACATCGACGTCTATTTTCGCGCCTTTGTAAATAAACTTATAAATTAATCAAAATGTACTGATTTAAATTTTCTGAACCGTTATTTACCGGTTTTGGCATTCAATTCAGATCACTGGTTTTGGCGGTTTTCATCGGTTTAGCAAGAATTTGGGTTTTATGTAAAACCGGATTAGAAGAGTGTACAAAGACAGAGAGGCAGAAAAATTCAAACTAAAGGTAGCAAGTGATGATGATTACGTTTTGACTTCCACTAACTAACACTTACTTAACATCTCCAATTTTATAGAGAAACAGATCCAAATCCAACTAAGAAAGCTTCTTCATTTGAATCTCTAATTCTTCTGCAACTATAATCACAGACAAACGAGAAGATGTTCGAGAAATCTTATAATTCACACCAAAACCAAATTCATTTCCACCCATATAATCTCTTTACAAAATCACATGATCCTTTTCTTAATCTTCTTCTTCTCACACCTGTGAAAGAAGTCACTACAGAATGAAATGAAAA